CGTTCCTTCTTGGGGGACCATCCTCAGAGAGGACAGCTTGGGGAGAGTGTTTCAGGCCCGTGGAGTTTCAATTGTGGGGTTCCACAGGGGTCGATTATCTCCCCAATGCTGTTTAACATCTATATGAGACCGCTGGGTGGGGTCATCAGGGGGTGTGGATGACACCCAGCTCTACATCTCCTTTTCACCAACTGCAGGTGATGCCGTCCTGTCCCTACAGCGCTGCCTGGGGGCCGTACTGCAGTGGATGCAGGAAAATGGGCTGAGGCTGAATCAGGACAAGACGGAGGTTCTGAGGGTGGGTGGCCCTGTGGTTGGTGGCCCGGGTGACTCTCTCACGTTTGGGGGGTGACCCTGGTCGTGAAGAGTGGGGTCCGCAGCCTGGGCGTACATCTGGACCCAACACTCACCATGGAAACGCAGATAGCGTCGGTAGTCCGCACCATCTTTTTCCACCTCTGGCGGATCGCCTGGCTGCGGCCCTATCCCGACATGGGGGCACTCACTACCTTGGTGCATGTGCTCATAATCTCAAGATTAGATCACTGTAACGCGTTTTACGTGGGGCTGCCTTTGAGGCTGATGCGGAAACTTCAGGTGGTGCAGAATGCTGCAGCCAGACTCCTCACTGGAGTGAGAAAATACCAACATATTTCTCCAACTCTGGCTGCATTGCATTGGCTGCCCATTCATTTCCGCGTCAACTTCAAAGTCTTAATGGTTACTTACAAGGCCCTAAACAGTTTAGGACCTCGATATTGGCAGAACGCCTGCTTCCACCAAGGTCTACCTGGATCACCCGTGCGAGTCAGGAGGTGAGGCTGAGGAGCCTGACGCTGAGAGAGGCCCGGAAGGAAAAGACACGAAACCAGGCCTTCTCGGTGACGGCTCCTTGCCTCTGGAACAACCTCCCTTCAGAGATTTGTGCGGCCCCTACACTGGGAATCTTTAAAACCCAATTAAAAACATGGTTGTACATCCAGGCCTTCCCTCCAGTCAATATCTGATTTCTTTTCTATTTCTTCTTATTTTATTCTCACTCTATTTTATTGGAACTGTATCAAATGATTATGTAATGTTCTTGTGTTTTATTGTTTTATCCTATACTGGAAGTCGCCTAGAGTGGTCAAGTAGACCAGATAGGCGGGGTATAAATAAATAAATAAATTACTTTTTCCCAGCAGTATTCACTAGATTTTACAACAGAACAAATGGACCCGTCTGTCAGCAGAAAAAGAAATGGACACAAAACTTATATTAGAAGCATCAATATTTAGAAACCAGTGGGAAAACACTTCCATCTCCACCGACACTTAGGTCTTTGAACTTCATGGTGACTATCATTGAACAAAGGAAATTTAAAGACAGTTCAATATGAAAGAGCTGAACAAGAATACATCAAGAGGTGTAGCTTTCTTTTTCTTAGCATAAATAAAGATAGAGACTTTTTCTTTTATTATGTATTTTAATCCGCTCATCCATGCAGATTTATCTGTAGTCCTGCTGTATATAGCTTAAACAATTTTTCCAGATGGGCATAAGACAAAACAGGTCATTTCAGTCTTTTAGTAAACAGAAGCCATTGTTTGGAGACCTCAGAGGCTACTTGACTTTTGTAAGGATGTTTATGCCAGGCAGCTCTTTGAAAGTTTGAGTGGTGTTAATAATACAAATAAAGTTAATTCTTTTTCACTCTGTAACAAGAACTAGTGTACATATAAATCCATGCCTTGAATATTGCATTCCATGAATCTTAAAAAATAGGGTATTCAACTCATGCCAAATAAAACTCATTAGTCACAAGAATATTTTTACAAATCACTTTGAAATCTCTGCTAAAAGGTCTTATGTACGTCTTTAAAATAAATCAGTAAATAATTTACTTCGCGTTTTGTTCTTCTTTCTTCCTTAATTAATAAAACCCAAAGCCTGTTCCTTAACATCCATTTACACCGATCACTCTCCCATAATTTCTGTTCTTACTTTTTCCCATAAGAAATCAAATTATCTTGGTTATTGCTCAAGAGTAATTGTTCTTTGCAACTGTAGATGAACGTTGTTGATGTTTTTGGTAATGGGGAGTATTTTACAACATCAGCTAGGTATTTTAAATGTAATAATGACTTTAGAATGTAGGGTGTCCCCCCCTTGCAATACTACTTTAGAAGATGAAAAACATTTTTGTTCAATTGAAAACCAGCATCATCCTTGCTCATTTGAGCCCATTTTTGCCAACATACAGATAGTCTTACATATATAAATGTGATAATCACTTTGAAATGTAAATTGTTAAAAAAAATAGCATATGGTAGAGATAAATACATTTTCAAATCAGCTCCTACATTTTAGGATGATGAGTGTAGCTAAAATTATTCTTTGGAAAGAATCTGGAGCTTTTGACACGCCGAAGCTTGAACTAATCAAGGCTTCTTAGTAAGCATATACACATATCCATATCAAGGAACCAGTGCTGAGAATACATGGATTAGCATAGTAATATAACTGCCCCCTGCTAATCAGCTAAAGCAACCAGATGATGCGTACATGATGCATTTGTAGAGGCACTCTTTTAGAACTCTGTGTAAACCAGGTAGTTGACCATGTATTTTATGTTAATTCTAATGAACGGAGAAAGTGAGACAGATGCTAAAGAGCCACTAGCCGTTGCATGTAAGATTTTGACATGAAGACTTCACAAGAAGTACTTCAAAATAAGATCACTCTCATGAGATACAGAATCTCATTAAGCGGCTGAATTCATACTCTGGCTGACTAATCTATTATGTTCTTGGTAAAATTTCAGTACCACCAATAACTGTTGCATAAATATATATAGACTGTGGTGGTTTTAAATACTTGTTGGAAGGTACTGTCCTGCTTCCTGCTGAAATACTCTTTAGAATAGTCACTAATAGACTGCCTTGGTGTAATTATAATAATGTTACTAATCTTTGTGATTTTTATAATATTAGAAATATTGAGCTGTACAGTTGGGACTTTTGTTTAGTAGTCACAGGAATAAAAACATAGTTCAAGGCTTGTCCTGACCAAAGATTGGCCGAAAAGAAAGTCAGTGCTGTAGTAAGCTGCAACAGTAGAAGGATAGTGATCAGATCAAAGGAACTAATACTATTACTCTGTTCTGCTTTAGTCATACCTCACTTGAAATATTGTGTCCAGTTCTGGGCTCTGCAGTTTAAGAAGGATATTGAGGGCCTGGAACATGTCCAGAGGAACATGATAAAACATCTGTAAATCAAGTGCTATGGCAAAGACTCCAGGAAACTGGGCATGCTTAACCTAAAGGAAAAAATACTAAGAGGTGTAATGTTAGACATTTTCAAATAGAAGGTCTGTCATGTGGAAAATAGAGCAAACTTGTCCAGCTCCAGAGGGTAGGGCTTGAACTAATGGATCTAACTTGCAAGATAGGCAGTTTCGACTAAACATGAGGAAGGATGCGATAGGCTTTTAAATCACAGGTTAAAGCAGGTCTATTCATAAGCTATTCCAGAAACTATGTACAAATTTTAAAAGACAATTAGAATGTGGGCACAATAAACCAGGCCGCCATGTCCCCTTCCTGGCCATGAAACTTTAATGTCAGTAATGTTAATGATTTCCAGTGATTTCCAATAGGCAGAGATGTCAGACAAAGATGCATATAATCTCCCTATCTGCTCAATCCGTACAAAGAACATGTCATATGGAAAGCTGGATTGGATAAAGGAGGCATGAACTGCTGGATAGCTCAGTGGTCTAGGTCATTGGGAGTTGGATTTCCCACTGGGCCTCTTTGACAGGGGCTGGATGTGATGATCCACAGGGTCCCTTCCAGCCTTTTAGTCCTGTGTGTGATTTCAGGAATAATCCCTGAATAGATCTAGTGGGAACTTGCAGCTGATTTATTGCTCACGGTTACCCCGAGCATCAGTATACAGTGGGGTCTTGACTTGAGAATTTAATCCGTATTGGAAGGCGGTTTTCAAGTCAAAAAGTTCTCAGGTCAAATCTGCATTTCCCATAGGAATGCATTGAAACCCATTTGATCCGTATCTGCTCTTTTCCGTCCATAGAAACTAATGGGAAGCTGCTATTCCGCCTTCGACCACTAGAGGGGGATATTTTGTTTCTTTTTTTCTTAGGTCAAGAAAGGTTCAGGGAAGGCAGGGAAAATACAGTCCAGGCAGTACCAGGCAGTCTGAAGCCTCCCAATCCACTCTCTAAACGCTGGGAGGAGTGAGGAAGCAGACAGGCACCCTTTTCACTGGCCAACAGTTAACTGAAAGTTCACATTTTGCACTTTCCCTGCCTCCCACGTGGTTTTTTTTCAGTTCTTAACTCAAATCTAAGTATGTAAGTCAAGTCAATATTTTCCTATGAGAGTGGTTCTTAAGTCAAAATGTTCTTAACTCAAGCCGTTCTTAAGTCAAGCCCCCACTGTACTGCTGTTGTTTGTTTTCAAAATATCTCCTGATGTCACAATCTTAAATGAAAATGGAGGTCAGCACAGGGTCGTATCCTCGCCCTTTGCAGCAGCATTCTTAGATTCCTTTGTTCAGTCATGTAATGATCTCAGATAACCAGCTTCTTATTAGATTATTCCAGTTGAACTGCACAGTGACATATTACATTATTGCAAATTTAGGAACTTACTGTTTTTGTCTACTCTTAGCTATTTTGACATTTGTAGCCTCTGTTTTGTTTAAGACTTTAAATAATATCAACAGAGTGAAACACTGGATCTGATGGCTGTGTACTCAAAGAATGGATTTAACAAAGATGGTGTGCCCAAAAAGAATGGAGTACACTGCAGTTTGAGATTAATGTTGCTCTAGAAGTGTTTTATAACGTGCTATTCCAGTGTAACAATATGCCCACGACAATAGCAGTGCATTGATCATAGCTACTGATGGATTGCCTTTTTGTTCTAATTTTATATTATTCTGAATGTGAAATTGCTTTTCTTTTTTAGTAACTTTCAGTACTTCTGCTTCTAGGAAATGTGACCACTAGTACTTCAGTGTCTCAAATGACAAGTGGCATCAGTCTTGTTTCGTTTAACAGTCGACCTGATGGGATGCATCAGCGTTCCTATTCAGTCTCCAGTGCTGACCAGTGGAGTGAGGTGACAGTTGTTGCAAACTCAGGCATCAGTAGTGGTAAGAAGTGATGGTATTTCATTTTTATCTTTATTTAACAAATATATGAGGATTCATTAAGTACATTCTAGAAAGTTAACGTTATTTAACATGTGTTGTGATACAGAGAGAGGAGAACGTTGTCAAATATAGCATTCAGATGAATTTATGGAAACTTCATCACAGTTGTACTTTCTCTTAGATTGATCAATATCTTTTTTTAAAGATATAATTTTGTGACTGCTGCATAATAGTTATGAAAAAGAAATTAGATACATTTTGATGCTCATTTGAAACAAGTAGTGCTATTGCAGATCAGAAGATAATTTCCTAAAATATCATAAATTGGGAATGCCCTGGGATTAGGGGTCAACACTTCATGACAGTTGTACTTTCTCCTAGATTGATCAATATCTTTTTTTAAAGATATAATTTTGTGACTGCTGCATAATAGTTATGAAAAAGAAATTAGATACATTTTGATGCTCATTTGAAACAAGTAGTGCTATTGCAGATCAGAAGATAATTTCCTAAAATATCATAAATTGGGAATGCCCTGGGATTAGGGGTCAACATATGTGGGCAAGAAATGAGAATTTAGATAATAAACGTGCCTTACATAATGCTTTAGTCAGTAAGCAGCATCTTTCTTTAACAGTCAGCAGTCCATTTGCTTTTACTTATCATCATGATTTTTTCCACCAACTGGAGTGAGCATGGTCTGATGGTGACTGACCTTGTGTCGGTCCCCTTGTCCTGCTCAGATTACCACCTAATAAAATGTAACCTCGTAATGGTCCTCCCCCCTCGCAGGGAGCAGGGACCTATTGCTATGGTCCGCCCTCGAAGGCTACTGGATCCAGTTGGATTCCAGGATGCCATGAGAGGTGTTACGGCTGACCTGGCTGGTACTCCTGTCGAGGCTCTGGTTGACAGCTGGTCTACTGCTGCCACTAGGGCTATAGTCATGATCATGCCTAAATGCCCTCTCCTGTGTAGAGCTCGGCCAGCGCCCAGTTTAACGAGGACCTTCGAGCTATGAAGCAATTTAGGAGAAGGCTAGAGCGTAGGTGGAGGAAGAACCCGACGGATTATAATTGGATAGCTGTTAGGGTCGCAACTAACCTTTACCTGTCTAAGGTAAAGGCTGCTTCTCGAACTTACTTTGCTAGCCGGATAAGCAAAGCATCTAGCCAGCAGGCGGAGTTATTCCATATAGTTCACGACCAGTCTGGAATTGGTCTGAGTTTTACACCTAGTTTTACACCGGACCAATATGCAGCATTTTTAAAATCTAAAGTGGAGGCCATCCGCCAGGAGCTCTCTCCTTTTAAATACAGTGAATTGAGCAGAGATGTCTAGCGCTCCATCTGTGACGCCAGATTCTGTGGACAGAGTGCTTGGTTATCTTCCCTGCCGAACACCCCTGAGATGTTTCTGAATGATTCTTCCTCCCGTATCACTGAAGCTGTCGCTATTTTTTTGCTTGAGATTTTTAAATTAACTTCCAAGTTATAACCCGTTGTGTTTATTGTTAGTAATCCCAGCTGTATTTATGCCAATAAAGGTTTGGAGAAAGAAGAGTGCTTGATCGCTGTTGCGCCGCCACCTCCTCCCTTGACCCTTGCCCGGCCTGGCTAATCAAAGTAGCCAGGCCCATAACAACAAAATGGGCCACAGCGATACAGTGGACCCTTGACTTACAGACGGCTTGACTTACAGACTTTTTGAGTTGCAGACTTCTCTGGCCACAAAATTTAGGTTTGACTTGCAGATTGAGATTTGACTTACAGACCAGAAAAAAACCAAAATGGAACAAAAACGGCCTGTTACGGGATTAATCGGTTTTCAATGCACTGTAGGTCAATGGAGACTTGACTTACAGACTTTTTGACTTGAGAACCGCCTTCCAATACGGATTAAGTTCTCAAGTCAAGACCCCACTGTAATTAATTGGTCTTTCTTGGAGGAGACACTCATTAGGCCCATAAGAAAGAAACCGAACTTGGCG